GCCCCATTTTCTCCCTATCAGGTCAGTTAAGGACATTCACAGTCTGGGAGCTGGGGATTTAGCTCAGCGGCGTAAGTGCCTGTCTTGCAAGCAGGCAGTTGTGTTTGATCCCCGGTACCAATAAAAAGGAAAAAGACAAAAAAAAGAAAAAAAAAAGAAATTCACAGTCTGCTTTCTCAACAGACACCATCTCACTTACCAAACCCTGTTCTTCATGGCTGTCAATATGCTTCCCATTCTCCTGTTCACTTTATTATTCTTCCCTTTTCATTTTAAAGGGCCTATAGTACTTATTTAAAAAGAACTTGAAAAATTCAGCAAAGAAGGGGAAAATAGTCCACCATAGTCTATTTACCTAAACACTCACCGATTCTAAGCCATATGGGACACATTATGCACATGGGTAAAGCCTCTAAATGCAAACACCGTTTCTAGAAGAGGCACAGGAGGGAGCCCTCAGCCAGGTGGCAGCATAGTCACCTTGGCACAGTGACCACACACACTTCCTGGTTCAAGCATGGATCTGGCCTTTATGGGAAAAACTCTCGTACGTTTTCTTCTGTATCTTGAGACTAGAATAATACTTTTTTTTTTTTTTTGTCTTTTTGAGACAGGGTCTTGCCAAACAGTTCATGCTAGCCTTGACTCACTTTATAGTCCAGATTGGCCTCGAACTTGCAGTGATCCTCCTGCCTCAACCTCCCGAGTGTTATGATTACAGAAGTGCACTACCATGCCCAACCAGAACAATATATTTTATATCTTAGGGATAGGAAAGGGCTCTTTAAGTAAAACACAAAACTGAAAAACAGTAAGAGAAAAATGAATAGAGCCACCTATTTCTTGGCTACAAAGTTCTCATATCTGTTTTTATTTTTTTTTCTTTTTGAGGCAGGCTCTTGCTGTGTAGTGGAGTCTGGTTTTGAACTTGCTTATGTAACCTAGGCTGGCCTTGAACACATGGTCATCTTTCTGCCTCAGCCTTCCAAGTGCTAGGTTTATAAGCATGTGCTCCCACACCCAGCTCCCATGTCTAAAAGATCCACTAAACTCAGTTAAAGGACAACCAGCAAACCGGGAAAACCATTTGCAATAGAAATAACAAAAATTTTATGTTCAGATGATATGAAGAGCTCCTAAGAGCCAAGAAAAATCCAGGAACTGGGGATGCAGCTGTGGGTAGTATATGCTTAGCATGTACAAGTCCCTGGGCCCAATCTCCAACACCAAAAGAGAAAAGGAAAGAAAAAGAAAGACAAGAGAAACATAGGCAAAACACAGGACTAGAAAACCCGCAGGACTCAAATACCCAATAAACATGTGAAATGAGAAATGCAGTCTAAAGTGGTGGCAGTGAGCTGTACTTTCCTCCCTTGGCTTCCGGAACAACACAGTGGCACAGGTCCCCTAGGTCTCCTGCAGATCTTGTTTTGAGCCCTTAACCTTGGTGCATCCAGGCTACTGTCCTTGGTCTTGTCTCTTCTTCATCTATACCCACTCAACTTGAAGCTTTCTTTAGTCCACCTTCTCAACGTGTCTTCCTGGGTTGCTGCTCTTCCAGACTTCTGAGAACACAGGAGTGCATTCGTCGTTGTAAGAACGGGTCGGTTTTTGTTGTTGTTTTGTTTGGCACCAGGGATCGAACTCACGACCGAGCGCTTGCAAGGCAGGTGCTTATGCCACTGAGCTAAATCCCTGGCCCTAAAGAGTCGTTTTTACCTTTGTTGTCGGAGGAGTTTCAAGGATTTGTGTACATGCTTATGTACATGAATGATGTTATTTCTAGAGGTACAAACCTGCATTTATGGGTGTTCAGAGAGCAAAGCTTAGTGACACGCTGAAACATTATTTACTCTATAGCCCGACGCCAGTTTCATACATTTTAAAACAGGAACATGTCTGCATCTAGCGAAAAGACTGGAAGGAAATGCATCAACAGGTTACCTGTGCATGTCTCCAGGTGCTGGCGTCGAAGGAGATTCTTAGCTTCTGATTTGTTTTGTCTTTTTCAGTTTCTGCAAAAATGTGGGTTAATTTTATCTTAAATTCTTGAGAGAGAGAGAGAGAAAGAGAGAGACAGAGACAGAGACAGAGACAGAGACAGAGAGAGAGAGAGAACAGTGTTCTATTCCTGCGGCAGATGGCAGTCCACCTGGCGAGGCGACAGCTGCCTGCGTCCCCGGTCGGTCCGGCGGGCCGCAGCGCCCCCGGTGGCAGGTCCGCGGCGGCTGGAAAGGGGTGGACTCGCAGGATCGGGAGGCGGCGCCCGGCGTCCCCGCGCTTCCCGCGAGATCCCGCTCGCCCGCTCCGCCCCGCGCGCCGCGCTTCCAGCTCTCCGAGCCGCGGCACTTCCTGCCTTCTGCGCCCGCGCCGCCGTCCTCGCCCGAGCCCGCCGTCCGCCGTCCGCATCCCGGCGCCGCCCAAGGAGGTGCCCCCGGCCGGGCCGGGTCGTCGCCCCGCCCGCCACCCCAAGAGCCGCTTTGTCTCGGGCGGGGCGCGCGGGAGAGGCCGCCAGGTGCCCCCCGTCGCGGGCCCGGGCCCCCCGCTGCGGGCCCGGGCCCCCCGCCCCGGGGTGGCGGCGGCGGTGCCGGGCCCCGGGGCGGGGGGCGCGCCGGGATGGGCCCCAAGCGGCGGCAGCTGACGTTCCGGGAAAAGTCGAGGATCATCCAGGAGGTGGAGAAAAACCCGGACCTGCGCAAGGGTGAGATCGCGCGGCGCTTCAACATCCCGCCGTCTACGCTGAGCACCATCCTGAAGAACAAGCGCGCCATCCTGGCGTCGGAGCGCAAGTACGGTGTGGCCTCCACCTGCCGCAAGACCAACAAGCTGTCCCCCTACGATAAGCTCGAGGGACTGCTCATCGCTTGGTTCCAGCAGATCCGCGCCGCGGGCCTTCCCGTCAAGGGCATCATTCTCAAGGAGAAGGCGCTACGGATAGCCGAGGAGTTGGGCATGGACGACTTCACTGCCTCCAACGGCTGGCTGGACCGATTCCGCCGGCGCCACGGCGTGGTGTCCTGCAGCGGTGTAACGCGCTCCCGGGGCCGAAACTCTACCCCTCGTACCCCTGCAGCACCTGCCAGCCCTGCCGCTGTGCCCCCTGAGGGCAGTAGTGAGAGTGCTCCAGTGTGGCACGCGCTTGAGGAACAGCCGCCTTCGGTGGCCGAGGGCTATGCCTCGCAGGACGTCTTCAGCGCCACCGAGACCAGTCTGTGGTACGACTTTTTGCCCGACCAGGCCGCGGGGCTCTGTGCAGGCGATGGAAGGGCGCGACAAGCCACCCAGCGCCTGAGTGTCTTGCTGTGTGCCAACGCCGACGGCAGCGAAAAGCTGCCCCCGTTGGTGGCTGGCAGGTCAGCCAAACCCCGTGCAGGCCAAGGCGGCCTACCCTGCGATTACACTGCCAACTCGAAGGGAGGTGTCACCACCCAGGTCCTGGCCAAGTACTTGAAGGCTCTGGACACCCGAATGGCTTCAGAGTCCCGCCGGGTCTTGCTGCTGGCCGGCCGCTTGGCTGCCCAGTCCCTGGACACCTCAGGCCTACGGCATGTGCAGCTGGCATTCTTCCCTCCGGGTACTGTGCATCCATTGGAGCGGGGAGTGGTTCAACAGGTGAAGGGCCACTACCGCCATGCCATGCTGCTCAAAGCCATGGCAGCGCTGGAGGGCCAGGATCACTCAGGCCTGCAGCTAGGCCTCATGGAGGCTCTGCACTTCGTGGCTGCAGCCTGGCAGGCAGTGGAACCTTCGGACATAGCCGCCTGCTTTCGGGATGCCGGCTTTGGGGGTGGCCCTAATGCCACCATCACCACCTCCCTCAAGAGTGAAGAAGAAGAAGAAGAAGAAGAAGAGGAGGAGGAAGAGGAGGAGGAGGGGGAGGAAGAAGAGGGTGAAGGGGGAGAGGAGGAGGAAGAGGAAGAAGGGGAGGAGGAAGAAGGAGGGGAAGGAGAGGAATTGGGGGAGGAAGAAGAGGTGGAGGAGGAGGGTGATGCTGATGACAGTGAGGAGGAAGAGGAGGAGGAGGAGAGCTCATCTGAGGGCTTGGAAGCTGAGGACTGGGCCCAGGGAGTAGTGGAGGCTGGTGGCAGCTTCGGGGGTTACACTACCCAGGAGGAGGCCCAGTACCCTACCCTCCATTTCCTGGAAGGTGGGGAGGACTCTGAGTCAGACAGTGAGGAAGAGGAAGAAGATGAGGATGATGAGGAAGATGACGATGAAGATGATGATGATGATGATGGTGATGAGGTCCCTGTACCCAGCTTTGGGGAGGCCATGGCTTACTTTGCCATGGTCAAGAGGTACCTGACCTCTTTCCCCATTGATGACCGTGTGCAGAGCCACATCCTCCACCTGGAACATGATCTGGTCCATGTGACCAGAAAGAACCATGCCAGGCAGGCAGGAGTTCGGGGTCTTGGACATCAAAGCTGAGCCTCTGAACATAGCTGCACCCCTGACCCAGATGGGCAGCACCAACCCAGGGCAGAGAACTCTGGGATGGAGCCAAATGGGGAAGCCCTGGGGCCTTTACTAATGCTTCCCCTGGCCTTGACACAGGTGCAGGGGCTTGAGGTCTGCCTCACTGCCTGCTTATTGCCTCTTTCTCAGAATCCTTTCCTCCCCATTTGTCCCTGGGCTCAGGGGACCAGGTGGGGTGGGGGGAGCTGTCTGGTGCTACCACACCATGCCCTCAGAGGACTAGACCACGGCAGTGGCCAGGGGTGGCCCTGGAAGCTCCCGGCCAGAGAGTGCCTCTCCCCCTGCCGTCCATAACCAGGTCTATGGTGGGGGGACCCCAAAGCCATTCTGGGAAGGGCTTCAGAGCAGGGTCCAGCCTAGGTCCCCACAAGGCTGGCAGCCCCCCACCCTACTCCAGGCCACCTCGAGAAGCACAGTCTAACTCAGGGTGGGCTCTTGAGCCCACCTCTGCCTGCTTTCCACCTCCCCAGTCCTTTTCTCTGGCCCATCTGTGTGATTTTGGCCCTTGGTTTTCTTTCCAGATCGGAGTTTTCCAAGAGGTCCTCCGCGGGAGTGACAGTGGTGCCTCCCTCATGGGCAGCTGCAGGCCCCATGCCTCTCATCCCTCTCTGGCAGGGCCCCATCCTGGGCAGAGGGGCCTGGGGCTGGGCACAGAGTCTGGCCATCCAGCTGCTCCTTTCCCAGTTTGAATTCAATAAATCTGTCCACTCCCCTTTTGTGGGAGTGAACATTTTAACAGCCAAGGGTGCATCCTTCATGGTCTGGGCTTGCGTCTGATTGGGGGCACATGTCCTTTCCTGGTTCCCTTTGGTCTTTGCACTAGTGGGACATGGAAGCTAGTATTGAGAGGGGTGAGGGGCAGAAGGAGTCCTCAACATCCACATTTAAATGTTTATGAAGAATTTGGGAGGAATGGGTCGCTTTAAGGAAATCTAGTCATGCTAGGGTTAGAGAGGGGCTTGGGGTCACTTGACTGGCACAGTGACAGATCTTGCAGTCTTGGACTAAATCAGGCAATGGGCACTTGTGGCCTGAACCAACTAAGGCTGGCTAAGAAGGTGCTTGCAAGAGTGAGGCCAGGACAGAAGATTGTTGAGACAGCTTCTCTAGGCCATATTAGAATTTGGAGGGGAAGATGGGGTTTACCTCTGGTGCCTTAACAGGAGCCCTTTAGGTCTTCAAGTGATTAGCAGCTCCTGGTCTGGTGGTCATCCTTGAGGCAGGAGGAAGATAAGTTACTGAGAAGAGATTGTACTCACAGTAGGCTAAGGATGGGCACTCCCATGCAGTGCCCTCCAGGGGCTCCACAGCCAAAGCTGAGGACTGCGCTTCCCTAGTCCTGTCCTGTCCTTACAGTCGCCAAACCCCTCCTTTAGTAATTCCTTACTGAGGCCTTCAGGCCCAGCGGCAGCTCTGGGCCCCAAACCGGTTTTCCCACCCAGCCTGGGGTTGGCACATCACTTCTGTAGTTCCTCCCAACCGCTGCCCCACCGCCCCACTAAGTTCGTCCTCTCCCCACCCTGGAATGTTAGGGGGTGGAGGTATCCAGGTCGTCTTTTGTCCCTTGCCTGCCCTGGGTGTGGTCCCTTCCAGAACAGCAAGGTATGTGACTTTAAACAAGTTGGGGTAAGTTCCACTCTTGGCCTTCTGCACTTCTGGCACTCAGGAATCCCCTCCAGGCCTTGAAGACCTTGGAAACAAAAGGACAACAAAAATGAGTTGAGATTCCCCTTGATATCAACGCCCTCTCCCAACCTGAGCTCTGGAGGCAGAGACCAGAAAAACCTACTGGAAACCAGCTTATGTTTTGGGCCTGCCCTGGAGTGAGGAGGAGGAAGTAGAGTAGCCTTCTCTTTAGGTGCTCCTGGCAACCCAGGCCCCTCACAAGTACCAAGGCAAATCACTTCATGTGTCCCCTGCCAACAAGAGCACCACTTTTGCTAGAGCTGAGATGATCTCATAGATGATTATACCAGTTGAAGCTGATTGGGTCTTTGCCACAAGCCAGGCTCTAATCACTTTAGAAGATACTTGTAAAGCTCCTTGAGAAGCCATGGCAAACAGGCTAGAGGTTCAGTGATGTGCCCAATGCCAACTGTCAGTCTGTATTGGAACCAAGTTTTCTCCCTAGGTTGAACCTAGAAGTATCCCATTACTGCTACTCTGTACCTCTTCAGGAAGGAGGGACCCATATTCCTAACCCTCCAAAAGGTTATATAGTTTTGAAATCAATTGCTAGTCCATGGTAGAACAGCTTTTTGGAGAGAGATGAAGGATATGTCTGTAGGAGCACTTGTTTCTGTCTGTAATCAGTTTCCCTTACTCCCTGCTCCCATACAAATACTGGTCTTATGTAACATTTTTCTGTTTTGTAATTTCTTTTCTTTATCCTAATGGGACAAGTAGATGAGAACTGTTCCCATTTCACAAAGGAGGAAATAGGGCTAAAGGAGTTAAATAATGTGCCCAAGGTACAGCCTTGAACTCTGGTGCTCTCTCTGGGAATCTGGGTTACATATTTAAATAGCCCAGCAAGACACTGAGCTGGGCTATGGCAATGGATGAGTAGAGAGCTTTGGCGGGGAAGTCTCTCCTAGCCCAGATGATAACACATTATTCATGGCGGGTCTCCAGGTAAAGCTGACAAACATGGGAATGCTGCCTTCACTTAGGAATGGCAACAAAAGGGTGATCCCAGCCCTGGTGATGTTAATGCATGGGATTCAGGGGCACTGACTGGCTTTGGCCGATCCCACAGTGGGTTAGTAGCTGGTCGGCAGGTAGCATAAGCCCCGAGATGATGCCTTCTTGGGAGAAGAGAATGATAAGGACACCTAACAGCTCTTTAAAAGCTCGGGCCCAGGAAAGGGTAGCGCGGGGAAAACTACATCTCCCAGAATCCGCCGCTCCCGGGCGAGTCGCGATGGTTGCCATGGTTTCAGAAAACAATATGGCTGCTCCCAGGAGGGACGTGAGTCGCCAGGAAGCAGAGGAAGTCTGGATTCCCACAGTGGAGAGAAAGGAGACATTTGAGGGGTCGTAAGACCGAAAGTAGAAGCTGCACGGCTAGAACGGGCTGGCCTTGCCAAGGACATTAATGGCTAGCAGCATGGACGAAGAGGCTCTGCACCAGCTGTATTTGTGGGTAGACAACATCCCTCTGTCCCGACCCAAACGAAATCTCTCCCGTGACTTCAGCGACGGAGGTGTGCACTCCCCTGTGTTTCCGCGTGTTCTGTCTCGTATGTACTTGTGGGGGGGGGCCTGTGTTTACACCATCTTTTTATTGGGGGGGATGAGAGGTGAGATCTGTCTCCTGGGACTTCAGTTATGTGTTTTCTGTCTGTATCTGTGTTTGAACAGTGTCTGTGAGCAGTGTACATGTTCTAGCCTGTGCACGTGTAGGGTGTGTGTGTGTGTGTGTGTGTTTACTTCCAAGGAGTTTATGAAGATGTTTATGTATCTGTGCCTCTCTGTATGTGCTTACTTATTGCTGTAAGTTATCTATGTTTGTCTTGTAGGTGTCTTGAGAATGTTCATATGTGTTAACATGTTCTATTTTGAATGTTTTAGGCATGTATGTTTCTTTAGGCTTCTGTTTCAGGAATGTGTCCTGGGAAGTCAGTGACAGAAGTATGCATTTTTCATTTCTATATGTGTATATTTGAGGAGGCAGCGTGTATATGTGACTCTGTTTGTGTATGTGTTCTACATGTGCACCTGTGTGTCTCATGTGTTTGTCCTGTGTGTCAACATATTGTGCCCTATGTGTACATCTGTAGATAAATATTATTGTGTGTGTCTATGACTCTCTCCTAGGACTTGAATGTTAGTGTATGTATGTGTATGAATTCCTAGGGTGGGGCTCCAGGGTCCAGAAAAGCTCTTTGGAGCCTTAGTTTCAGTTTTCCTGTGCTTTGAATTAATGGGGATAGAAAGTACCTCCTCTGGGTTATGCCAGATCTTAGTCTGATCACTGATCTCATCAATCATCCTTACCCCTGCTACACCCCCACCTCTCCAGTGGGTCCCACCACTGTGCTGCACCACCTGTCTCTTTTCCTATCTTCACCCCAGCCCTTACACCGGCTCCTAACCCTACTCTCTCAGTGCTGATTGCAGAGATCATCAAGTTTTACTTCCCCAAGATGGTGGAGATGCACAATTATGTCCCTGCCAACTCCCTGCAGCAGAAGCTCAGCAACTGGGGTCACCTGAACAGGTAGTAGACTATTCAGGAGGGCGATCCTGAGTTCCCAGGAAGGGCTGCCCCAAGCGCTTCAACTCCTATGGTCTTGACTGCCCAAGCTGCCCAAGCTGGGGTGGTGTTGGTGGCGGGATGAGAGGGCCAATAGACAGACTCTACCTGGTAACAAATCAAAGAACTCTTTTAATTAGGGAGGAGACATGGAACCTCAGGACATCTAAACAGGAGAGTTTGGATGCCTGCCTTTCCATTCCCCAGTGGCAACACACTCAAGACCATGCCCCTTTCCCTTTGTCCCTTGTCTTTGCTTCATTCCCCACAGGACCTGTCTATCACCCATGTGTCTGTCCTGTAGGAAGGTGCTGAACAAGTTGAACATCTCGGTACCAGATGATGTGATGCGCAAGATTGCACAGTGTGTCCCAGGCGTGGTGGAGTTGGTGCTTATCCCACTGAGGCAGCGCCTGGAGGAGCGGCAGAAGCGCAGGAAGCAGGGCATCGGCTCCTTACAGGTGCCACTGGACTCCAGCCTCCCCCCTGCCCTGGAGAACTTCCCAGGCATCAGAAAGCCTGGGAAGCCTGGAAAGCTTGGTGATGAGTGTGGGCCAAGGGTGCCTGCCTAACAGAGCCTGGCCTGGGGGTACTGTGGAAAGGACATGGGACTCCTTGGGGATGGGTGAGCCCAGGCTCACAGACTACCACGGGGGTTTTTTCAGGACCTGGGTCTTCAGAATAGCAGTGACTACATGGATGTGGGTAAGCTTTCCCCTTTCATCCTCTCGTGACAAGCTTTTCCTCTGTCCTATGCTGGAGAATGGGGTTATTCCTCCACTTGCCTCATCTCAGGTCTGTCCCAGAAGGCCCGAGGGGAAGGTGCTGTGGATCCCCAGGGAGGAGGCCAGGTCAGGTAAAAAAGTTGGGAATTCCTGACCTCACCAGGCTTGGTAATCTCACAGTGCAGGTTGGCGGTGGATGGGGCTAGCTGAACCTGAGAAGGGTGGAGAGGAAGGGAAGAATCGGAAGGAAGGCCTGGCTGAGGGCTCTGGAAGCAGAGGTGACCAGGTGGGAGGTGACAAGGTCCAGGCCTCCCTTAAGCTGCTTTGCACCACAGAGGAACCCGGCAGCCAGCACCCCAGCCTCCTGGGTATAACCAGGCCCAGCAGAGTGACCCAAGCTTCGTGCTCCAGATTGCTGAAAAAGAGCAGGAGCTGCTGGCTTCACAGGAGACTGTGCAGGTGAGAGTGCATTGGGGAGGCTCGGGGGTCTGGGAGCTGCAGAGGAGCAATGCAGTTGGTAGATAGTATGATGTCTTGCCGCGCTGCACAGGTCCTGCAGATGAAGGTGAGGCGCCTGGAGCATCTGCTCCAGCTCAAGAATGTGCGCATCGAGGACCTGTCCAGGCGGCTCCAACAGGCTGAGCGAAAGCAGCGGTGAACCTGGATGCCAAGACTCAGCCGCCCACTGGCAGACTCAGTGCTGGGAGGGCAAAGCCAGTGCCCCACCGGCTTCTTCCACTCTAGCAACTCCTGTCTTGGGGATGGGGGTGGTAGTGCAGCTTACCAGGAACCTGAGTGGCCTACATTCTATCCAGGCCTGGAGAATGGACCACTTTCCCCAGGGCCCTTCCTGGGCCTTGGGAAGTAATCCCCTGGCTCTGTCCACATCCTTAGTTCAGATCCCTACCCATCTCTGGGGACCTTGGTGTCTCTATCTAGGCTAGTTCTGCCATTGGCAGTGCAGGAAGCTGCCCTTGGAAGCCAGGGGGCTCACCTGGGACTGGTCTCACAGCTGGAGACTGCACACAGCAGCTGGAGAGGAATAGGTGAAGAACAGCAGCAGCCAGGAATAGGGGACATATCTGCTGTGCCCAGAGCAGGGCCCTTCCCTACCCCATGGGGTACTGTTGGGCGTGCGTGGGGGCTGTAGGACAGGGTGGTCCCCATTAAAGGGGGTGATTTGCTTTCTTTCCTATGCCTGCCTCTTTTTGCCTGAATCCCTGAAGGGAATGGGTTCCTTCCCCTTTGTCATCTAACCCTTATCTCCTTGACTAAAACAGCCTGGTTGGCTCAGAATGGATCTCATCTTATGGGTGGCAGGTCTGTGTGCCTGCTGCTTAGTGAACTGGGCTCCACCTTTGTGAACTGACTCCTAACCCTGGTTTCAATTGCCCCCAAAGCTGCCTGCAGTGTCCCTCGACTTTGTTTAAACCCAAGCTTCAGATTATCTCCAGTGGTGCCCTCAACCCTGCCCGTGGTCTGGCCCTTTAACTTGGCCTGTATGACTCCCAACCCTGCCCACATACTGTTCTATGGGCCAACGCCAAGCTTTCCTGCCAATGTTGACCAAGACACTATGGCTGCGACTTATATGACTTTCACGCTGATGACTTGCTGACTCCCAGTAATGTTAAATATTTGTACATCTGGAGATCTAGTAATTCCATTCTAAGATATATACCAGCAAAAACTTAATCTTTGTACTCTGGGAACAGGTCACATCAGTGGTCATAGCAACACTCTTTGTAATAACAAAAGAACTAAAAAAAAAGGACCCATTTTAGTTACTAGTACTGTGTTGCACATTACTATCAATTTAGCCGAGTGCTTATTATCTCACATTTTTTCTATCAGTCAAGAGGCCAGGCTGGCTTTGCTGGGGCCTCTGCTTCAGGGTTTTAGCCAAAACTGCACTAAAGTGTGAGCCAGAACCGTGGTCCCATATGCAGGGGCAGCTGGGAAAGGAGTCATGTGCACGTTAATTGGTGACAGGACCCAGTTTCTGGTGGACTGTTGGGCTTTAGTGTTTGCTGGTCATTGGCCTGTGGTTGCCCTCATTTCCTCGCTATATGGCCACTTTCAGCATTGTAGCTTACTTCGCCAAAGCCAGTGAGGGAGAGAGTAGAGTGTCTATGGTGGCACAAACCTGTAATCTCAGCACTTCCAGGAAGTTGCAAGTTTGAGCCAGAGGAACCTCATTAGTGAGACCCTATCTCAAAATAAAAGAAAAAAATTAAAAAGGGATGAGGATACAGCTCAGTGTAAAGACCCAGGGCTCCCATCCACAGTTTAGAAAAGAAAGAAAAAGAGAGAGAGGGTGGCAAGACAGCAGATGCATTTACTGTAATCATGGAAGGGAGACCCCATCATGTTTGGTGAATTCTATTTACAAAGAGCAAGCCACAAGGCCAACTCACATTCAGGGGCTGCACCTGGGTATGAACATCAGGATGGCTGATGTTCCTCCTTATGGTCATGAAAAGATAAAATAAAAGGTACCACTTCCCTCTGAGAGGAAGTAAGGGTGGTGAGATGCAAGCACCACCTGAGCTGGTATAAATTATTCATAATTTATTTAGCTTTCAAAGTAGGTTGGTTTATGGGTTTTCAGATGTGAGTTGTTTCTGGACAAACGGGGAGTGTCATGAACTGATGATTATACTCAATAAGATTCAATAATATTAAAGATATTCAAGGCTGGGCATGGTGGCATATACCTGTAATCCCAGCACTCAGGAGGCTGAAGCAGGAGGATCATTGCAAGTTCAAGAGCAGTTTAGGCCACAAAGTGAACTCTAGGCCAGCCTGAGCTTTATAGTGAGACTCTGTTTCAAAAAGATATCTCTATCTATCTATCTATCTATCTATCTAGATATATGCAAACAGGCACACTTACTGTTACCTTACCATTTCCTGCCTTTTTCCATACAGGGCAGCATACTACAACATACTCTGTTTTACATCTTTATTTTCTCCTTAATAAAATCTCTTGTAGATCTGGTGTGATTAATTTTATGTGTCAACTTGATTGGGCCACTAAGTGCCCAGTTACTTGTTAAAACATTCTGGGTGAGGGGCTGGGGATTTAGCTAAGCGGCATAAGCACCTGCCTTGCAAGCAGGCAGTTGTGAGTTTGATCCCCGGTACCGGTACCGATAAAAAGGAAAAAGACAAAACAAAACAAAACATTCATTCTGGGTGTTTCTATGAGTTTCTATTAGGGATGACATTAACATTTAAATCACAGATAAGCAGTTTGTCCTCCTTCAAGTGGGTGGGCCTCATCCAATCAGATGCTGCCCTCCCCCAAATATAGAATTTCTACTTCCTGAACTTGGACACCAGCTTTTTGCCTGCCTTCAAACTCAAATTGAAACATTGGCTCTTGCTGCACCTCAAGCCTGCCAGTCTTTGGATGACAATCACACCATTAGTTATACTGGTTTTCAGGCCTTTGGACTAGACTGGAACTAAACCATTGGCCTTCCCAGGTCTCTAACTTCCAACTCACCCTGCAGATCTTGGGAGTTGGCAGCCTCCCTCAATGTGTGAGTCAATGCAATAACTGTGAGACAATTCAGTCTTTCCTTTGATTCTCTTTGGAGAACCCTGATCCAAGATATTTCCAAGTGGGGGCTGGGAATTTAGCTCAGCGGCATAAGCGCCTCCCTTGAAAGTGTGCGGTCATGAGTTCGATCCCTGTACTGAAAAAAGACACACAAAAAAAGTGGGTTTTGGAGGTGGGAATTTAGCTCAGCGGCATAAGCACCTGCCTTGCAAGCAGGCGGTCATGAGTTTGTTTGATCCCCAGTACCTATAAAAATGAAAAAGATGACAAAAAAAAAAGAATATTTCCAAATGAAAATGTTCTCTTTTTCCTTTATTGGTGGTGTGTGTGTGTGTTTTGACACAGGGTTAAACAGGGTCTGTCTGTAGCCAAGGATGGCCACAAATTTATAACCCTTCTGTCTCATGCTCCTGTGTTCAGAAATTATAGGAGTACACCACCCCACCCAGCTTTTGTTCTTTTTAGGACCCTAAAATTCTATTGTACAAAACTTATTTTAGACATTTGAGTGATTTTAAGTCTTTTACAAGGATAATAATAATAATAATGGAACAATAACCTCAGGCTGCACAGTAATAATTTAGTATTATATACAAGTATATCTGCATGATAAATTCTAGAACAAGGGTTGCTAGCTTAAATAATGTATGCATTTGTAACCTTGATACTGTGAAATTGTCTTACCCACAGCTACGGTCCATTGCAGAGACTGAAGACTAGTGTGCTGCTCTGCTCTGCTCTGGTTTATACTGGGAGTTATTTTTCAAAAGTTGTTGATCTTTATATTAGTGTGAAGTAAGTGCCACTGTTGCACTCAGCTAATGGGTATGTAAATGAGTACAAGTGTTTTAGAAAAGTTTGGCTGTTTCTAATGCCTATGCTATCAGTATCAGTAAGGGTTCAATCAGAGAATTTTGAAGGGATTTCTGCCAGGGATTTGACTTCAGGAAATTATGGGAGCTGGTTCAGGCGTCTCAGATTATACTTCTTTAATCGAATGGTGCTTAAAATTCACAGGTCAGAGAGTTGGGGAAAGAAGATGGATGTAAGATAGGGGACAAAATAAACTAGAATTATGAGAATGAGCTAGAAGCCTCACGGACAAACTGGGCTTCCTATCAGCTCTCACTGCCTCCAGGCTCAGGAGGGGGGTGAACTGCAGGAGAATTTGGCCCCCAGTCATTTGACCCAGGAGTCAGAGAAGTGAAGAAGGCTCCAAGGAGAGGCAGAGCATTTGCAGGCCTAGCTGCTACCTCAAGTAGTGAGGTCTGCGTGGGCTACAAAGCTCCTGCTTTGAGCTCACAATGTCAAATCCAGTACTGCTGCTTTCTCTCAAATCTCATACAAAATGTCTGCTGTGACCCACCCTAATTGGAAACACACATGAGAGGGAATTTGGAAAATGCAGTTCAGACAATAAAGCTACTACGGCTATGTCCCAGCAATTCCATTTCTAGATATAGTCTTAAATGAATACATATGTTTACCAAAAAACTGCTGTATTGTTTTTGTGTCTGGCTTCCTTGGCTCGATATTATCTATGAGAATCATCTATGTTGTTCCATGTATTCAGGAGGTTATTCTCGTCATTGACCCACAATACTGTACAAATACACTGTATTTTAGTGTCCCTGGGGCCCATATGTTAAAGGCTTGGTCCTCTGACTAAGGCTATTGGGAAGTGGCAGAAACATTAAGAGGTGCCAGTGGGAGGCTTTCTTGTCACTGGGGTTGTGTTCCTTAAAAGGACAGTGGGACCCCAGCTCCTTCCTTCTCTCTTTACCGTCCTGGTCAGTGAGTGATGGCCTTACCACATGCTGCGGTTCACACCAGGCCCCCAGCACAGTGAGGCGCATCAACCATGGACCAAAACTTTCAATTAAAAAAACCTTTTATTTTTGGATTTTGGAGACAAGGTCTTGCTATGGAGTTTAAGCTGGTCTTGACCTCACTATGTAAACCAGCCTGGCCTCAAATTCATGACAATTCTCCTACCTCAGCATCTTGAGTGCTGGAATTACAGGTGTGCATCACCATGCCCAGCTCAAACGTCCAAAATGATGAGCCCAAAAAGTCTTTGCTGTTTTTATTCAGTTTATTATTATTATTGGTCTTTTTGAGACAGGGTCTTGCTATGCAGTTGAGGCTAGCCTTTAACTCACTTTGTAACCCAAACTGGCCTCAAACTCACAGCAATCCTCTTGCCTCAGCTTCTCAAATGTAGGGATTAAAGGCATGTACCAACACGCCTAGCTATTTATTTTTTTTTAATCAAATTCTTTTTGTCTTTTTTTTTTCATTTTTTTATCGGTACCAGGGATCGAACTCATGACTGCCTGCTTGCAATGCTAAATCCCCAGCCCTATTTATGTATTTTTGAGAAAAGGTCTAGCTATGTATTTCAGGCCAACCTTGACCTTGAGGTGATTCTCCTGCCTCAATTTCTCCAGTGCTGGGATTACAGGCATGCATCACCACGCCTGGTTTACTCTTTATTTTAAAAACACTGCATTTTATCTATTTGTTTTATTGTTGATGCACATTTGGGTTATTTTCAGACCAGATTATTACAAATGCTGCCACAAATATTTTTATACATACCTTGTAAGATATGAGAAAAAAAGAAATATAACTGAGAGCTACAATTCTGTAATAAGGTTGGCATTTATAAGTTTTATTAGATACTGCCAAGTAGTTTTCCAGCTTGTGGTTTATTTTTTATTGGTACAAGGGATCAAACTCACGACCGCCTGCTTGCAAGGCAAGTGCTTATGCCGCTGAGCTAAATCCCCAGCCCTAAATATATTTAATAAATAAATTTATCAAATAGAGTCCAAGCTAGGTATGGTACCAAATGCCTATAATCGCAGCACCTCAGAAACTGAAGCAGGAGAATCACTGCAAGTTCAAGGCTAGCCTGAACTACACAGTGAGACCCAGTCCAAAAAAAAAAAAAAAAAAAGTAGTAGTAGTAGAGTCCAAAATACTATGTGTTCGGAGCTGGCGCAGGCATGTTTGCCATGTACTTCATCTGTTCTAACCTAGTGTTGCTCTTCTTTTGTATACTTCTCCCATCTCCAGGAAAGCCACTAGGGGCCTGTGGCTTTCCTTACTAGAAGCATCCAGGTTTGGTAAGGCCATCAGTGCTAGAAGCCTGGCATCTGTGGTGATGGCACACCTTCTTGTTGGTTCACAGGCCTTCTGGACAGCAGAGGGACAGCCATAAAACTTTTATCCTGACTTCCTCCTGGTTCCATCTGTTGCCTTCCCTGGGAGCCCATGGCATCCCTAGCATGGGAAGCTCTGTATTGTGGGTCCTCCCAGGTAGCCAGACTGCCCAGAGTCTAGGAGTGTGAAGAATCTTTTGCAAGAACAGGAAACCACAGTTCTTTTTGTGTGATATCATTTACTCCACAGACCCTAGCATAGTAACTTGCCCATCATATACATTTGGTAAATATTTGCTGAGAAACTTTTTTTTGGTGCCAGAGATCAAACTCATGACTTTGCACATGCCAGGCAGGTGCTTCTTGTACTATTGAGCTAAATTCCTAGTTTGTATTTAATACACATTATAGATGATTTTTCCAGGTGGGAAGGTAGCATGGTGTGTGTGTGTGTGTGGGGGAAACTCATGAAATCAAACATGTGTCTGCAGAGAGCCAGATAAAATAAACATAAATATAGGGCTGGCTTGGACTATGGTAAATTGATGTGTTCCAAATGAGGCAGCTACTATTTAGTGTAAGTCTTTGGTGCTAGACTGAAATGTGAGTCTATGTTATTAGATCTGACATTTCAAAAAAAAAAAAAAACCTGGAAGTCGGATTATTTTATGAAGTGGGGGTGGAATTTAAAAGCTTCATGGTGGGGAATAAAAGCCTCCTGAGGGCTAAACAAAATACATCTGCAGTCTACTTTGGGTCCATTGTCTACCGACATGGAAAAGAATAGGTATGAAATACATGAAGTGGGGGACGGTAGACAATGCGGTGCTCTGAACGGTGGGAGAGAACAAGTGGAGAAGACTGGGTGGGCGGGGATCTGAATGTGGAAATCTCGATCCATGCGCAGGACATTCTTCTCAAAGCGGCAGAGAGCGTAAAAATCACCGTTAACTGTAAAGTTCTCGAAGCACTGGAGCCTGTCCTGTAGTACAGAGAGCTTTAGAGCAAGGGAAAGAAGCAATGGAAACAGTACTGCAAAATTAATTTGCGAAGTGCACAGACTAGAGACTAGTAGACAGGGAAGGGGCCACAGACCCAGGGGAGAGGGAATGCCTAGAAGGATGAGCCAAAGGCGGCGTAGATCTCAGCTCTCTGAAAAAGAAGCAGGCCTTCAGCCTCCAAACCCTCTCCCACCTAGTTATATGAGAAGGAGCAGTATGCTCTGGACCCCTCTCTGCACTTTGTCCCCATCAGCGGAAAGGGAGGTGGAGTGTA